TTATGAATAACTTACACTTGCGTCGGACGTGAAATCTTCGACCGCATCGTCGAGAGTTTCTTCGGGATCGTATTTTTTCCCACCGTTAACTTCGTTATTTTTACTTTCAACTTTTCTGCGTTTCCAATTTCCGCCGTTGTCTTCGTTCGAATCCGATTTCTAAAAAAAAGAAAATGGCGGGAGAGGGGGGATATTAAAAAATTGCGATATTATTTTTGATTTTTTTTTTTTTTTTTTTTAAATCGAAATCGACTATTGCTACGTACTCTTTTTTCATTTTCAGATTCTCCTTCTGCTTCGACCGTTTTTTGCACCTTTGAAGCTTCCTGTTTTAACGTTTCTATGTATTTATTGTAGTGAGACACGGTTCTGCCAAAAAAAAAAATAATAATAATAATAATATCATTCGTCCGCATTTGATAAAAAAAATCCATTGGGGGGGGGGGGGAAAGAAAAGAAAAGTAATCGAGTATCGCACCTGCAATGAACGTCGACGTAATCGCTCGACAATAGGAAAAGTTTGCATGCTTTGCAATAGTATCCGGATGTCGGGACGACGAAATGTTCGGCAACAAGAGTTTCCGCATCCGGATCGTAATCCGGAAGAGATTCGTTTTCGCTCATCAAATTTTGCATAAGAGCTTTATCTTCTGCCGTCAATACGACGAATCCTTTTTCTTTAATGTCTCCCGTTTCGTCGGTTAATTGTGCAACTTTCATTTCCTTTTCTCGGAGTTTGATATCTACGACAAAAAGAAAATCCTCCTTTTGTAAATTTCCCGATAAAACATCGATTCGAATGAAAAGAAGAAGAAAATCTTACAAAACGGATCCTTCTCGAATTTTTCCTTTCTCATTAAAGCTTTGGCTTCGTTTTGAAGGTGTTGAGGGGTCAATACGTGTTCGTCGTATTCGATCCGGACTTGAAAATCGATTTTGCACATTTCGCAAGATGGATGAATGAAACGTTTTAGATTTTGATGTTCCGTCGTGGAACGATGAGCAAACATTGTCATTCCGTTGAAATGCAAATCGCACATTTTACAATATTGATCCGGATAAGGCCTCCGTTTTCCGCCGCGCCTTAATTCTTCCAATTTCAATGACATCTAAAATGATAATAATAATAATAATAATAATAATAATAATAATAATAATAATAAAACTTCACGTGTTGTTGTTGTTGTTTTTGTAATACTACTCACGGCAGCTATTTGCCTCATGAGATCGGTTTGCAATTGATAACTTTCTTCCAAATCCCGTAATTTGTTTCTGTGATTTCTTCCTTTGATGTGAGTGTCGAAAGACTGAAAAATAAATAATAATAATTATTATTATTATTACAATTTTTTTTATGTAAATAAATAAATAAATAAAAAATTCTTCTTTCTCACCACGTCGTTCCACATGCTTTTACCACAAACGTGACAGTGAAACAATTTCGAGGGTATGTTATCATATTCGGCAATGAATTCTCCCTGTAACAAACAAACGCACATGACAAAATAAAACCCAAATAATAATAATAATTAATAATAATAATAATAATAGTAATAATAATAATAATTAAACAAACTCACATCTCCATCGTTTCCTTCTTTTTGAGATTCATCTTGATTTTCACCCTTTCCATCTCCCTCGTCTGCTTTCCTGAAAAATTTCATAAAGAAAAAAAAAAAAAAAAAAAAAAAATTTCAATTTTTGATACGAATCATTGCATCAATTATGATAACAATAACTAACTAATTGAACGACTCCATTTTTTTTTTGTTTGTTAACACGAGTTGCAATAAATGATATTTTGTATATACATAATCTGACAACCATTTTGTTTTTTTTTTTTTTTTTTTAGGATTGCAAAGTACAAAGGAAACTTTACAAGAATGGCGTTTGTGTAATCGACAAAAAATTGGAATCGGAAATGGAGAAAAGACGTAAGTCTGTAATTTTCATTATTATTTTTTATCCAAAACACCATCGGTCGGTTTTTCTACCTATAAGCGTCCGCCATTTTTTAAACGCGCGCGCGTGTGTGTGGGGGGCAAATTCAATAATTCAAAACTCACTTCACAATCCCAATTATTTATACAAAATATCATTTTAACAACAAAATAAATTTTTAAAAAAATATCAAATCAAAATTTTTTCGTCGATGCGTATAACAGACAAACACCCCATTTTCCGTTCTTTGTCTGTAAACGAACGATCATAAATAATCTAAAACTGACGTCATTAATTAAATTTTTTTCCCAACGGAATCAATAGATATTCATAAATTGTACACGAGAACAATAAATTACAATAATAATAATAATAATAAAATAAACCTTGCGTTCGTAACACTTCATCATTATTATTATTATTTAAAAACTTTAAAATCGTTTTTCTTGTCCTTTGACCTCAAATTTTACTTTTTTTTTTTTTTTTTTCGTCGTCGCGAATCTAAAACATAAAAAAAAAAAATTTGGTAATAAAATAATAATGACAGGTTACGAACGCAGGTATGTATGCATGTGAAAAGTGAACCTTTACCTGTTTTACTTACCATCCAGGCACATGGACGATGCCTTTCGATGCAATCCAGGCACTGATGCCAATTAAAATTTAACTAACGAGATAGTATATCAGCTAGCTTATTTTTTTAGATTTCGTTTACGGGAGGGGGGGGGGGGAAATGTGCGGACGAAAGAAATTTCAAAAAAAAAAAAGAAATGATTGTTTATAATCGATCGATAATTGATTGATTGATTGATTTTTTTAAAATAGCTTATTTAGAGGGGGGGGGAAACTGAAATACCTCGAGAGACATCACAGACAAGAACCTGTTTCCATTTAAAAAAAAAAAAATGAATTTCTGTATTGAATGGAGTAAAAACTAATCACGTGACCGATATGACGTCATTTTAGTGACGTCAAATACTAAAACTGAACTATTCTTACCGGTAGAAAGTAATTAGTATCGAATTAGCGAATAATTTCGATTTTAAATATAAAAAAAAATTTAGAGGAAGAGAACGCCTTCGAGAAGGCGGTGGGGGTGGAAAGGGCTTAGAGGGAGGGGGGCAGAGAAAATGTTTTGTAAACGATAAGTTTTTTTTTTTTTTTTTTCGGGTTTTTTTGCGGGTTAGCTGATTGATGAGTTCATCTTACCTCTCATCTTCATTCTCATCCTCATCTTCTTTCTTGATCTTATCCTTTTCATCTTTATTGGCTTTCATTTTGTTCTTATCAGTCCGCGGTTTGTTGTCACCACCTTTACTACGATCTTTGTTCCGATCGTTAGCCTGACGACGATTCTATATGAAAGTTGAAGAACGAAAACGAATCAAAAGTGACAAAAAAAAAAAAATAATAACTTCTCCATTTATGTTCATATATATATATGTATGTATGTACGTCAACAAAAATTAAATTTTTTAAATTTTTTTTCTGCTTGTTTGTTTGTTTGTTAATTGATTTCTGCTTTTTGTCATGTTGTTGCATTGGAAAAAAAAATAAATACATATATGTAAAAAATTTCAATCCATTTCAATAAACTGGAATTAGAAACGGAATTTACATGAATTAGGCAGAAATTCGATGATGATGATGATGATGTACATACAAAAAGCCGGGAAAATGAAATGGACAAAAATTTAAAAATTGAAATTTTTTTAGGCCAAAATTGATATCTGAGAAAAGTAAAAAAAATTATTACAAATATATATACTTAATATATATATATACCATTGTAAATATGCATATATATATATAAAAAAATAAAAGAAGAAAACATGGTTGTTACCCTCTCACATATACACAAAATCACTCAAATAAGAGATCATCTCGATGAAATCAATAGCTAATTTAAAATTAATAACAATTTTTTTTTTTTTCTTTTCCTGAAATTTTCATTTAATAATTAATTTCATTTTTAATTAAATTTTTTTTTTTTTTAAAAAAGTAAGATTTAACGATTGAATTCATCTGAAGATTCATGAGGTCAAAATGCACAAAAAAATTAAGGGTAATAATAATAATATAACTATTTTAATGCATCTATGTAAAGAAGACAAAAACTTCCCCTATTGGAAATCAACCCCATCAGGCTGTTTTCTATTTTCTTCCTTTGTTTCCTCCCTTCTCCTGTACCTGTAATCCCTATTTAAAAAAAAAAAAAAAAGAAAAAAATTGTGACCTGTTAGGTTATCGACTTACCCTGAAATTATCCGATCTCTTTTCATTTCTTCTGAAACGTTCACTGCCATAAGATCCACCTCCATATCTCACTGAACTACCATAAGAATTATTAAGGCTCATTAAAGATGGCGGCTGCTGAACCTAAAGTTAATTTTAAAGTGTTTGTAATCAGAAAAAATAACGAGTAGTAGTAGATACAGGTGTAAAAATTTTAAACAAATGTCGAAAAGAAAAAACTTATCAGATATGCTATTTTTCAATTATGATAATTATCATAACAAGTTTTTTTTTTTAAATGATATAAATTAATTGATAATTAAAATAATTTTATTATTATTGGTAAAAATCAATCGATGGGGTTTGATATGATCGATAAAAAAATTTTTTTTTTTTTTACTTACAGGTGGTTGTACTGGAAGTATCGATGTTAAAAGTTTTGTTGCGATTGCAATAGAAGAATCATTAGTTAACTGATTTAATAGATTATTAGTAGTCAATAATGATGGAACTGAATTATTTCCACTTTGCAATCCGCTTCTCCCAGGTGAACTTCCACTTTGCCAAGGACTAACACCGGCTAAACCTCCCCCTAAACTATAATTACCCCTATTCCCTTGACTATAACCACCGCCTCCGCCACCGCCCCCTCCACCCCCACCCCCTCCTCCGCTGCTACTAACTCCTCCATAATTTCCAGAACCGAAGGTTCGACGATTTGCCATCTGCTAGGACAGAAATTATAAATTTATTTAAATTTACAAAGGTGACTATTACAAAAAAAAATTATTTAAAAAACAAATAATAATAATAATAATAATTGGGACAAAATTCTCAAAACTCATTTATTTGATATTAATTATATACTGATATGAATAATTTTAGATTTAGAAGAGGAAGGAAATAAGAGGGACTCATAAAACAATAAAAATCAGAGAGTTAAATTTCAAAAAAAAAAAAAGGAATTCAAAATTCAAGACCGGTTACGCCAGTGCAGGGTAGTAGCAGTAATCGAGTGAGTAAAAATTTTGAGCATTTCATCAATACAACCGCCATATTTGAAAAACTCAAATAAACACAAATCGAAGTTTAATTACAATTAACCGACCATTTTATATTTTTACCCGCACTTTTTCAACAAACATACAACTACTTCTCGTGAATTAGAAGCATGGTGGTCTATCATAATGAATATTATGTATTAAAAAAAGGAAAAATAAAAATAAACGAGTCATCGGTAATTATTAGACAACGATTAAAATATAACAAACTTATATATTTACCTGATATATATAATTATATATTAATGATAAACACGAGTATTATATAATTAAAAAGTTTAGTTTTAAAAAAGCGCCAAGAATACAAAAAAAAAAGAAAAAAAAAATCCAGTTATTAGATTTCACAAATCTATGAGACGCGAACTGCAATTGTCAGAGTTAATAACGGAAGTACGTCACAATGACTAAAAACCGTCGACACGCATTTACTTTATGCGGATTCAAAGAGAAATTATTTTATCTTATTACAATAAGCTCAGGTTGCACCAAAAATCTCATAAAGTTTTCCTACGATTAAAATTAAAAAAAATCAAATTAATTAATTTGTTAATCAATCATTCTAAATCAATTTTTTTTTTACTTTAATATTATTTAAAAACCGATAAATAATTAATAACTAGTTGTATTTTCTAAAATTTAAATTATTATTCTTTATAGCCATTATAAATCAATAGCATCGAAAAGTATTTATTCAACATTTTAAAAAAAACGGTTATAAATAAATGTATTTTGAAAGACAAAAAAAAAGCAAATTTTCTAACCAGACATTTTATTTTACAGTAAGAAAAAGGAAAAAATTACAGTAAGAACACAATGACTATCAATACCTGGGATAAAAATGTTTTAGAACCTCTAACGAAATCATTCGAAAATGATATTAATAAAATAAAAAATAAAGAAGAATTTATATCGTTTTGTTTAAAAAATAAAAAAATCAGGTATATATATATATATATATATATATATATATAATTTACAATAAAATAATAATAATAATATTTGTTTTAACCTTACTTTATTGATAATTATTTATTTTTTTTTTTTAATTCAGGAATGTATTGGAGGATTATTTAACAAAATATACAAATAATATAAAAAATACAGGTAGTAAAAACAATGAATTGTCAATAAAGAAAAGAATAGAAGGAAATGAAAAATTTACAAATGGAAAATATAATGAAAGTTTGTCACTTTACACTGACAGTATATTTTACGCCGATAATAATAATAATAATAATTGTGAGGAGGCTCTTTCATTGGTATATTCGAATCGTTCACTCGTTTTACAAAAACTTGGACGTTTTAATGAAAGCCTTCAAGATATTGATTTAGCATTGAGTTCAGGATGTTCTAGTAAACAATATAAAAAATTAATTTTAAGAAAAGCCAAATGTTTAATACACTTGGGTGATTATAACAAAGCGAAAATAATTTTACAAAAAAATTGTAAAGCATCGCAAGCAGAAGGTATGTATTTATATACACATTAAATAAAATAAATATTTTATTTTTTCATTTAATTGAAAAAATTATTTAATTTACAGAATTATTTGTAAAATTTAAAAATGAAGTGGATTTCTCGCAAGTGCCAAACGGTGTTGTTAATAATAATAATAAGTTAGAGCTACCAGTACCTGTAGGAGGTGTAAGCAATACCTTTCCGTCAGCATCATCATATATAAATGTATTTTATAATGAGACTTTGGGAAGACATGTCAAAGCTCTACACGATATCGAAGTTGGAGATGTTTTATTTGTTGAAAAACCTTTTGCATATATATTATTTCATGAAGTTTGCCACAATTGTGCCAAACAAACCATATCACCCATACCGTGAGTATTAATGAATTTAAGTGCATATCAATTTGGTTATTATTTTCTACACATAAAAATTTCTATCTAAAAATTTTATTTCAGATGTGACAAATGTTTAGATGTTATTTATTGTTCTGTGGAGTGTAAAAAAAAATTTGAAAAATCGGTACATTCGTTCGAATGTGGCAAAGGAAAATTTTTCAAATCGATCGGAATTGCTCATTTAAGCCTCAGATTAATATTAGCAGCTTCATCAAATTACAAAGAATTAAAAAAATTAATTTCAAGTTATACAGAGACGAAATATTTCGATGGCATCGTTCCATGTGAAAATAATTCATACCATAATGTTTATGGTTTGATAACAAATTTGGAAAAATACGAAGGCAAACATTTATTTCAATATGCATTGGTAATGTACTAACATATCTCATCCTTTTTAAATGATGGCACCAACTAAAAAAATATTTACAAAATTTTTCTTATTTAGACTGCTTCATTATTAGCATTGTATTTAAAAACTCATACTTCATATTTCTCAAATGAATCTAATGATGATGATGATAATAATTTGGAAATTGTCGCATCAACTTTATTTAAACACATATTACAACTTATATGCAACGGTCATGCAATCACTGATGTAATAACAGATGATTCCAACGATTCAAATGCTGTTGATTTAATTGAAAAAAGAATAGGAACTGCTATTTATCCATCAGCTAGCATGATGAATCATTCGTGTGAACCATCCATAATTACCAGGTATGAAATATTATCACTTAACTCGAATCCTTTTTTACCCTTTCTCAATCTCTATTTCTATTTCATACTAGCTTTTCCAACAATCATTTAATAGTAAGAGCTTCAAAACCAATTAAAGCTGGTGAAGAAATATTTAATTGTTATGGACCACATGCGAAAAGAATGAAAAAGGAAGAAAGACAAGAGATTTTGAGGAAGCAATATTTTTTTAATTGTCATTGCATGGCATGTCATCAACAATATGATATTATGGTGAGTTATTAACATTTAAAAATACTTTTTAATTAATAATAATAATAATAATAATAATAAAATTATTTTTAGGAAAGGTTTATGGCTTACATGTGTTTCGAATGCAAAGGTCCCCTCATTATAATAAATGATTCGAATAATGGATACTGTTTAGATTGCAATAAAAATTCAATAATAAGTCAAGATGTTATTCGTAGAAAAAATCATATATATGTTCAATTACAAGAAGGTATTTATTATTATTATTATTATTATTATTATTAACTTTTATTTATTACGATAACTTTGATTTGACATTAATTTTTGTTTTTATAGGAGAATCATTTAAGGAACAAGGGAAAATATTAGATGCTTTAAAAAAATTTTTAAATTTTTTCATCATCGGTAGAAAAATATTATATAAATTTAATAAAGATTTATGTTATTCAGCGGATCAGGTATAATAATGATAAAATTTTGTCTTTTTTCCCCTCATAGTAATTTATCAATGGTTTTTTTTTTTTTCTCTCTTTCTCTTCCACAGGCTGCTTCGTGTTTTTCCAAATTAGAAGATTACGATAAATGTTTGGTAATATTAAAATGTACAATTTTATCAGAGGAAAAACGTTTCGGATCATTTAGTATTGAATTGGGTTACGCATTGAAAAAAATCGGCGATGCGTCGACGAATTATTGCATTCAAATCGATCAAGCTAGTAATAATAATAATAATAATAATTATAGGTAATGTATCATCATTATCATCACCACCACCGCAACAACTTTAATCTTAAACCACCGCTATTACTACTACTACTATTATTATTATTTCAGTAAAAAAATAGCGAGAGAAGGTATTGAATATTACGAAAGAGCCAAAGGAATAATACAAATACTCATGGGAAATGATAATAATGATTTTAAAGAAATTCAAAATAATATTGATTTTTTAAAATCATTCATTAAATGAATTCATTCTCAATCATTCATTCTCATTCACGTAAGTATAATATATATATATTTCGTATTAATAAAAAATTATAAATAATAATAGTAATAATAATGGTAAAAGGACACGAAAAAAAAAATAATAATAATAATAATTATTTACAAAAAAATGCGCCACCATTTAAAAAATTGAATCGTTCGTAAATTAAAAAAAAAGGTTTTTTTTTTTTTTTTTTTTAATTAATTTGTCATTTTTTTCTGTTTTTGTGAATCGTCTATTGAATTACCCTCGTGACTTTCTTTTTGAACGTTTGACTGTGAATGCAATGGAGTGTCACCATCGAGATTTGAATATTTAAGATTTAATTGTTGGTGTTGATTAACTCGGATTTCGTTCGGATCGTGTCCTTGTTGTTGATAATGCGGTTGTTGTGGATTATTTCCGGGAATGTGTGAAGAATGTTGATTACTGCTACTGTATTCTTGTGATTTTTGATTTGCGTTTGTTAACGGAGCCTGATTATGTTGTTGTTGTTGTTGTGGCTGTTGTACATGAGGTTGCTGATGACCTTGTTGTTGTTGTTGAAAACCTCCTACTCCTCCTCCTTGTTGTTGTTGTTGTTGTTGATGATGAACATTATTTTGACCTTGTGACATTTCGTTTGAATTTACTTTTTGTTGTTGTTGTTGTTGCTGGCTATGATAATCTTGAGAAGGTTGATTTAAATTTCCGTGTTGATTGTTCGGTTGTTGTTGTTGTTGTTGTTGTTGATATTGATTCATATGAACCTGATGAGGAGGTTGATTCGGATTATGATTTAACCCGTGAATCGGTTGAATGGGTTGATGAGGTTGATTGGGAAAATTTGCCGCGTAACGTAGTTGTTCCTGTGTTCCATAACCTCCTCCTCCTCCTTGAAGGTGATGAGGATAACCAACCTGGGGTTGATGATGAGTTTGATACTAAAAAAAAAAAATTCAAATGTTAAACTCCGAATTTTTGTACTCTTGTACCCGCGCAATGATTGATCAGGCAAAAAAAAAAAAAAAAAAATTTTCTTACTTGAACGTATTGCTGCTGATGCTGTTGCTGTTGATGATGTGCGTAATAAGGATCACCATTGAATACAGGTTGAGGCGGAATCTGATTTCGTTAAAAAAAAAAAAAAAAAGCCAAAAAAAAACTAAATTTAACTACAATGCAAAAACTTGTTAATAAAAACTACAAAGCAGAAAAAATAATAATAATAATTTGTGGCAAAAAATGACACAAAATCTGTTTTTAAAGATTTTACACATTCTCTGGATAGAGAAAGAGAGAGAGAGAGAGAGAGAGAGTGAGAGTGGGAAAAAAGAAAATTCTTACCAATCCTTGTTGAATCATTTTTTGCACTTCTTCCTGTCTTCTCCTTTCAAATTCGAGGTATTCCTCATGAGTGTAAACAGGTTTTTGATCCAACGTTTCCCAACCGGGATCTTTTTCAAATTCAGGTTGTTTTGTTTTTTCGATAAATTCATCGTAGCTAATGAGTCCTGGGAAAAGGAATAAATACATTTTTTTTTTTTTACTAATTGTTTTATTATCGTTTAAACGTTTCCCCCTCCCGAATGTTCAAATGTTTGTTACCATCTTTGTTTTTGTCTGCTTCGCTAAACACGTGTTCTCTCATTCTTTCCATTTCTTCAACTCTTTCTTTCATGTCATCTTCCGGTGCTCCTGCCTCGTATAATTTATCTAATTCTTTAAGAAACAATGCTTTCACTTCGTTGTGATCCCAATGTCCATTACCATCCAAATCTGTGTGTATGAATTAGTAATTAAGCATTGCTTATGATTTAGTTTTAATTCATTCATAACATTCATTCATTCATTACATTCATTCATTCAATCATTCATAACCTTACCGTGAAGTTGAAAGAAAACTTTTGGATCAAATTCTTGATTTTCCATGTGATCTTGCTTTTCCCAAACTTCTTCCAATTGTTGTTTGCTTCCGGGTTCGTGTAACTAAAACATGACAGACATATTTTTATCATTTAAGTGAAATGTTATGATTGCGAGTAACATTTTTACATAACATCCAGGAATAAAATAAACATAATAATAATAATATTGAAACTTTTTTTTTTGGTTTTTTTCACTTACAGGTTCGTGTTGTTTGTGTTTGGTTTCATTTTCTTTGATTTGTTTTTCGAAAGCTTCCCTTTCGCTTCCAGACAAATGTTGTAATTTTTGTTGTTTTTCATATTCTTTTTGCATTTCATATTCCTTAAATTCTTTTCTTCTTTTTTCATCGGCTTCATTTAAATCTGAGGAAACTTTTGCAATTAATTTTTTTAAATCTTCCATTTCGAACGTGTGAGGATTGTGGTGATCCAAATGTTCGGATGATACTTTTACATGTTCAGTATCGATTCCATTGCTGAGTTCGACTTGCTTTTGAGCAAGATGCCTCAACCTAGTTTCATGTTAAAAAAAAAAAAAAGATTCGGAATGAGTAATGTTGGTATATAGTGAGAAAAATATAGCAAACAGATTATTTGCATAAAATTTATTTACATTGAATGAAAAGAATGAACATCATTTGTCTGAAAAAGTCTGTGTAAATATTAATATTTTTTGTCATTTGGATGTAATCATATACATAAAATCAATATTTACCTTTCGATTTCTTGACGTTTGACTTCATCTAATTTACTTCTGACTTTATGATCGACAAATTCTAATTCTTTAGCAATTTGTCCGCTTCTAATATCGACTTCATGAGCATCTTCTAATTTTTTTTTAAATTCTGGATCACTTTCTAGCAAATCGATAACTTCTTTTAAATATCTATTATATTCTAAACCATAATCCTCTATATCATTTTTTTCTTGAGAGGATTCATGTTGTTTTTCATCTTTTTCTATTCTTCTAGGAGGAGGTGCAGCTGCAGAATGAAGCAGCAAAAATAAACTTAAAATTTCTAATTTAAATATCATATCTGTAAAATGTAAAATTTAATATAAATTAAATTTAAATCGAATAAAATAATGAACAATTTAAAACTTACTTATCGATTGAAAATTTCAAAAAAAAAAAAATTGTAGCATATTTTTATGTGTGATCACTTTAATGATTTATTAACAACTAATTAAATATGATAAAATTTTATATTTTATCATTGTAATGAAATGTATTTAAATAATGAAAAAAATTATTTAACCTTGTTACAAAAAATAACAAACCTGACATTGATTGAAATTATTAAACAAATAAATAATATTATGAATACAAAACATTGATCAAAAATAGGCAACAAAACTAAATCAATTCCTTTTAAATATTTTAAAAAAATCAATTTTTGTCGTTTTTTAATATGAAAAAGTAAAAAATGGGGTAGACATTATGAATTACTTAAGGTACTTGATGTTTAAATATGTTCAAATTAAAATCATAATAAAACAAATCACTAAAACAAATTTAGTAATCGGTGTTATATATATTTCTAGTTTTACTAAGAAAAACTAAAAAAAAGAAATTTTAAATGATAGTAAAAAAAAGCAAATTGATAAAAACAATGCAAACTAACCTTATTGATATTGGAAATAATAATAATAATAATAAACTGAAAAATTATAAATGAACGGTTACGATAATATTAATAATACTTAAAACAATCATTCATAAATGCGATAATAAATACACTGATAATAATTATATTTATTAACATTAATATTGAAAAAGAAAAGAAAAGGAAAGGAAAAAAAAAATATAAAAATCTGTTAAAACACCTGGAATCTTGACACAAATTTTTTTTTTTTTTTCCGATAATTTTTTTTTTTTTTTTTGTTTTAGTTCCTAAAACTTTCAAATAGTGGCGCAACTGTAGTCATTACATTCTTTTTGGAATTTTAATCGTGGTAATAATTAATTTATATGTGGCACCAGAAAACGTAAAATAACGGTTGACATTAAGTAGTGCATGTAGTGATTGAAAAATGAAAAAAATGAAAAAAAGGAGAGTTAATAAGGTAATAAATAAACTTTTATGCATGCTAGTTTATTAAAATAAGTAACGATTTATTTATTTATTAAGTAATAATAATGATAATAACTTATTAAGCATGATATTAATGATTTGATTAACGATGATGAAGCCATAAGCCATGAAGCCATGAAGCCATTAGTCAAATTTTTTTTCATAAAATTAAAAATATTTTTCTGATTTAATTATAAATAGAGAGAGAGAGAGAGAGAGAGATGGGGGGAAAGGGGGGAAGGGGGAAAAAGAGTAAGGTATCAAATATTCAATTTGATCTTGAGAAAACAAAGATTAACCATATATAATAATAAAAAGGGCCATAAAATTTCTGTTATATGAGATTTTTACCAGAATAATTGCATTTCCCACAAAAGTTTTAATTTATAATTTTATTATGTCTTACCCAACTTCATCATCATCATTATTATTACTTTTTTTTTTTTTAATTACACACACACACAAAAAAAAAAAAAAAATTTTTTTTTTTTTTAATGATGATGATGATGATAATGGTGATGATGTTGTTGTTGTTGTTGTTGATGATAAAAATAACACTTTTAATGTTCTTTTTTTTCCTCCCCACTGTACACCCCTTAGTCCCCTTACTCTCCCCCACTTTGTAAGCATCAAAAATCCTTTTTTTTGTTTTTTTTTGTAAGGAAATTTTTAATTTGAATTTATTTTCTTTATAATTACAAATGAAATTTTATACTTTATTTAATTATTAAGCCTTTTTCATGGATGTGTTAAAAAAAAAAAAAAAAAAAAAACAAAATTTTTTGTTTTTGGTTTTTAAATAAAAAAAAATAATTTCAACTTCCTGTTTTTATTTCTTTCTTTTTTTTGGGGAGAGGAAGGATGGGAGAAGGTGTGGGGGGAAGGAAGTGGAAGTGGAAGAGAGAGAGAGAGATTTTAACATTTAACATTAAGGTTAACAAACACACAAAACAAATGTTAAACTTTTATACCACAAAAAATAAATTATTTAAACAAATTAATAATAATAATAATCATTTTCATTAACTTTTTAAGTCTTTAAATATGATCTTATGTTATATTTTAATGTGTTTCTTCTTTAAAAAAAAAATATTAAACAACAACAACAACAATTTAATCAAGGGCAAAGAAAAAAAAAATTTTTTTTATAAACAAAAAATATTTTATGTTTACATTAGTATAAAAAAAAAAAAAAAATAGGAAATTAAACAAATTATATATATAAAAGGCCTGACGTAATCGATCAATCATTTTTTAATTATTATTATTATTAATAAATTAGGTAATTTTTTAAATTAAAAAAAAAACCCACTATACTAATTATTATTA